CTGCGCCCAACCTGAGCTGTTGCTGAGCTGCCAACGGGAGGCCAGATGGCTCAGCTGGTGAGAGCGTGTGCTCTTAACAAGGTTGCAGGTTCGACTCCCACATGGGATGGTGGGCTGCACTCCCCTGCAACTAGGTTGAAAGTGGCACCAGGACTTGAGCTGAGCTTGCGCCCTCCACAACTAAGATTGAAGGACTACTTGACTTGAAGCTGATGGGTCCTGGAAAAACACAGCGTTCCCCTTCCCCAATTTCCCAACACTGTTCCCTTCCCCAATTTCCCAATAAAATCTTAAAAAAAAAAGAAAGAAAGATAGAAAGAAAAGAAAACAGCTGAGCAACATCCAATTAGCCCCATACACCCAAAGGTGTCTCAACAGGCACCAAAGCCCGCTGGGGCAAATCCTGCTCCATGGGGTAAGCCCTCCACATAGAAGCTCATAAGCTATGGACCTAGCCAAACACCACAGCCAGTCAGCCTGAGGGTAAATCCCACACACTGACGTGACAACAGCAATCAAGGCTCAACTATACCAGGAGGGTACATACAACCAACACAAGGGACACTCCTGGAACACCCGGTGCAGGTGACCAGGAAGACTGTGCCAATGGGCCGCATAGGGCACCTACTACATAAGGCCACCCGGCCAAGACTAGAAGTCACAGATCTATCTAATACATAGAATCAAACACTAAGAGGCAGCCAAAATGAGGAAACAAAGAAATACATTCCAAATGAAAAAAAAAAAGAGAAAATTCCAGAAAAAGAATTAAACTAAATGGCCAGAAGGAAATGGCACGAAATATTCAACGTGATGAAAAGCAAGGACCTACAACCAAGATTACTCTACCCAGGAAGGCTATCATTTAAAATCAAAGGATATATAAAGAGCTCCCTAGACAAGAAAAAGCTAAAGGAGTTCATCATCACCAAACCAGTATTTCAAGGAATGCTGAAGGGACTTAAGACCACAAACAAACAAAACCAAAAAGATCAAAAATATAAATAATAAAATGGCAATAACTACATATCCATCAACAATTACTTTCAATGTAAATGGATGAAATGTTCCAACCAAAAGACATAGGGTGGCTGAATGGATAAGAAAACAAAATCCTTACATATGCTGCTTACAAGAGATTCACTTAAGATCAAAAGACACAGACAGACAGAAAGTTAAGTGAAGGGAAAAGTGTCATGAAAAT